GCATTTTCTTTCTTTTCTTTTTCTTTTTTTTGGGGGGGGGGGGAGATTCAATCCAACGTACAGGGGAAACCGCTTCAAAATGTGTTTTTCCGTTCTCCCATTGATCTTTACTGTTTAGATCACACCTAATATATGAAAGTCGAAATCCTCTTTTCCTATGAATAAAATTTTATAAAATTCATTTTCCACTTCGTAAGACATATTTGCAACCATCACGCAACATAAACCGATAATAGAATGATACAGAGTTATTTTCCTTTTGCGCACGCACATGGTGTCACAATTTCGCCAACAGCAGATAAATCGCCAAATTTAATCACGGATTAAGTTTCCTATGGAGGAAAGGAAAATACGAGTCCGGGCTTTACTGGACAGTGGGGTTCCAAAGGAGTTACATTTTGAAGATTATCAAGAAAGAATTTGGCCTTAAGCCTCTCGCTATAGCAAACTATTACCCACACGGTATATGGAGGTGCACAAACAGAATTTAAGCCTCATAATAAATATAAAATTAAATTAAGTGCACCGGGTAATGGTCACAAATCAGTTCTCTCAGCCGAATTCATTGACCAAAAAATGATATGTGGGGAAATTTCTTGCATTCCAAAGGAGTCTGTTCTAGAAGATCTTAAGGAAAACAGACTGCGGATATCAGATATTGTGACTGGGAGTCCAGAAATAGAAGTTTTAATTGGCAGCGACACTTATTGCCAACTCCTAACAGGTCGAATCAAGTAGCTGAACAATGGTCTAATAGCAATTCAGACAAAATTTGGTCAGACAATTTGCGGTGAGTTAGTGGATCCATCCCATAGTTACGTTAGTAGTGGTACAACTACGTTGATGACTAATGTATCTTTGAGAATACTGAAGGTTCCAGATTCGCGGCGGTTGGAAACAATAGGAATTAATGATCCCTCTCAAATGTCTAAGAAGGAAGCAGAAGAGCTAGGCAAAAGTTCCTTAAAGAACTTGCGAGAAGAGAAGACGGCCGTTACCGTGTTGGTCTTCCAAGGAATTGTATTAACCCATACATCCCCTCAAGTAGAAATTAACAGAAAGAAGGTTGTTTAGCACTACCAGAAGACTGAAGAAGTTAAACAGATTTGAAGATTATGACCTAGTATTTAAAGAATGCTAGAAAAAGATTGTCGTACAGAAAGTCTCAAAAAAGGAATTAGAAGAAGTAGGAGGCAACTGCTCGTGTCACCATCCACTTATTAAGCCAGAGAGTGCCGCTACCTCTATCAGGCCAGTTTTGACGCCTTGTGCAAAGCTGGAAAAGCACCATTCATAAATGACTATTCCTTCAAAGAGAAAGAAAGAGAGAAAGAAATTCCTGTGAGGAGAAATTCCGGCTATATTCTTGAGATTTCGAGAAAAGGCTATTGCATCAGACATTAGAACAGCCTTCCCCCAAATTTAAAATTAAAGTGCAAATTAAATTAAAGAAGATCGCCGATTTTTGAGATTTTTATCATGGGAGAAAGCAGATAAAATTAAACTCTATCAGTATAATAGAGCGGTGTTTGGAGCTACTTGTACCCCATTTTTACTCAACGAGTTTATAAAGTACCATTTGAAAAACTCATAAAGAACTCAAACAAATTATTGATAAACTCTTGAAGTTCTATATTGACAACTGCATAACCTCCGTAAATAGTGCATAAGAATTAGAAGAATTTATCTCAAATTCAACAGAAATTATGGCTGAAGCTATGACAGATTTGAGATTATGGCAATTCGGTCCTGTAGATGAAACAGAAAAGTTGTGATTTGAGACTAGAATTTTGTTTAAAGATCTTACAACTCCAGCTTCGGTTTTGGGGATTAGCTAGGACCTGCGGGAGGATTATTCAATGATCTGCAATAACTTTGACGAAAATCCTACTTAACGCAGACTTTATATATAACTCAAGATATTTAGGATCCCATCGGTTTTCTCGTCCCAGCATTGTTGCTAGCAAGCTAATGATTCATGGGGCTTGGTCAGCTAAGTTAGAATGGGATTCTTCGTTCTAGAGAAGATTCAAAAGGACTTTCGGAAACGGTACACTGAATTGAAATAATTATCTAACTTAAAGATATACAGCCGTATAAGGTACGGAAATAAAGAAAAAAGGGTACATACATGTTTTTTGTGACTCGAGTCAAAATGAGTAATTTTCCTACGATGTAAAGATGATAATAGAATTTTGGTACAGCTTTTAGGAGTAAAACTGCGACTTGCTCCAAAAAGGACTATGACAATCCCGCGTCTGGAATATTTTGTTTGTGTTTTGGGAATCAGATTAAAAATTATAGTTTTGAGGTTCTGGCCGTCCTTACAGTAACATGTTTATTATTGGACTGACTCTTCAACAATTATATCTTGGATGCAAAGAAATGACCAGTGGGGTACTTTTTTGGGTAACAGAATCAAAGAAATATGAAACTCACAGAGTCACACCGATGTTTAACTTGGCCCAGATAATCTAAATCCGGCGGACCTGCCATCTCGTGGTTGTAGCCCTAAGCATCTTATCGAGACGGGATGCTGGGAGGGACTACATTGGTTAAAAGAAGAAGAAATTAATTGGTCCAACTCGGAACATCTCCTAATATAGATTTATTTATGTCAGAAAGAAAGAAAACTGCAATATAATTATTCACCTGTACAAAAGTAGATCAATTCATGAATTATGAAAGAATTTCGAAACTTTGAAGATTTGTAAATATTATTTGTTCGATGAAAAGATTCATATCAAAATGTAGGACTAGAAATTAATTTTTTCCATCTGAACTTTCTATCGAAGAACAGAAAGAGGCAGAGAAGTTTCTTTGGTCAAGAATTCAGTTAAAAAAGTTTTGGTGGTGTCTCAGATAGTGTCAAAGTTCTCGTTGTGTGATCAAAATATTATAATACCAGTGAAAACAAAGTTATTAGAACGTGATGCTGAATTTTCATTCAAATATCCAATTTTGTTGATATCAAAACATTAGGTAGTAAATTGCTTAATACGAAACTGCATTTAAAGAACTATCACTCAAGTCTCCAGACCACTAGTTCCATCTCGTGAGAAAATTATTGGATTTCTCTTCTGCTAAGCATAACATCCGAAGTGAATTATCAAAATGCATGAAATGCAAAATGTTTACGTCAAAATCGTTTGCCACTTCCCCCCCCATTCATCTTCTTCATCATTCCCCCCCCCCATTTGACGGATTCAAAGACTCGAAAGTTCTTGAAGTCGTGAGCGTGGATTGATGTGCCCCTGTACTTCTAAGGGAAAAAACAAGGTATGGATTATCATTTATACATGCCCTGTGTATCGAGCCGTACACTTAGAATTGGAGACTAATTTGTTAACAGGAGTTTTCACCCATGCCTTCTGAAGATACATAAGAACGATGATCCAATCATTCGGTTGGTGAACTTTTTGAACATTTTCAGAGCCAAGTTTTAGAACTGTAATTTTTTATTGTTTGGAATTTTAAGATATTAGTTTTTCTTATTTTATTATATTATTTTTGAATATACAGGGTTATCCAAATTAAACTTCCCCAACTCAGAGGCCTGTGCAGAGTGTTGTATGGGTCATAATGTGATGAAATTTTAGAAACAGACACTTCAGATCATGCGCTCGAGATTTATTATTGATTACGCTCGAGATTGGCTAGTGGGGTCCACGACCGCCAAAGCAACGTCCTCTACACGTGCAGATTCCACAACCTGTCGTCCTCTACCTGGTAAAATTCCCAGCTGTCCCGTTCTTTCGAACTTCTTAATCATGTCTCGTAGAGCGCGTGGTGTCATAGGTCCTCGGCGTAAGATCTTCAGCCGACGGAATGCTCTTATCGCAGCACAGGAGTTCTCGTCATTCTGGTAGAAAAGTTTCACTAACAGAGCTTTGTCTTTCAAAGTCGCCATTGTGCATCAGCGAGCTGGAAAATTGTGTATCAGGAGCTACAAAAGTGGAAGACGAGCCTGTGCAAGGCCTGTCTTCCACTTTTGTAGGACTCGTCTTTTGGATACGTTGCGCAGAAGCTTTATTTCTGCAAATCACGTTGCTGCAATATGCACATTACTAGTGTTACAGCGCCACCTATCGACAACTTCTTGTACTAATTTTTTTTGTGCAATAAATCTCGAGCGCATGATCTGAAGTGTCTGTTTTTAAAATTTCATCACATTATGACCCATACAACACTCTGCACAGGCCTCTGAGTTGGGGAAGTTTAATTTGGATAACCCTGTATTTAAATTGTATTTTTGTGTTTAATTTCTGGCTTCCACCATAAATTAAGGGTGGGAATATGTTAGGTATTCATTTTAAAGTGTTTCTTCCCCTCATTAGAGGTTACACTAATGGGAGAAAATTTAATTTTTTTTTTTTTTTTTTTTTTTTTTTTTTTTTTTTTTTTTTTTTTTTGTAACAGATAGTAAGTTTTTCAATTCTGGTTCGTGCCAGCATGGTCGAGCAGTTGATCTTACAGCCATTAATGGGAAAGAGACTTTTTAAACCAGATTAATAAGTAGAACCAGCATACGTCAGTGGAGGCTAAAATTAGTGTCATATTTGTCTGTATCCATACCAAATTTCATTGGTTCATTGGACAAAGGTCTTAAAACCCCCTGTAAAATCTTTGAAGAAAGGTACAGAACGTATGAATCATAGTTACGCAGTTATGCGTGGCTGAACACGCTACAGGAAGGTGCTTGATGGGACAAAAGATACAGGACTAATATAAGACAGCCAGCACTGAAACAGTTTATTATAGTATAATCATTAGTGTAAAACTTCAACGTTGAATGCTAGATACTCCTATAAATTGTATCACAACATGACAATCTACATCTGATATCTCGTGACCAAAATCACCGGGGGTCTTTACTGTTATTTCTGAACCTCCAAGGTTGTTACATCGCGTTCGGTTGTCAGCGCGACTTTGGTGTGAAACATCCATCGCTGTTAAGGTCAGCTTTGAGCATAATCGTAACTTTGAGCTTTTGTTATGATATCAGCAGAGGCAGTGTCATAGCCGATGAGGTACTACCGAGGCGTGACTATTGCTAGTTGAAAACTGTATTCAATTTTTACATTGTGCATATATATTACGTTTAGAAAGAATTTCTTTCTGCTGATTTACTGTGTCGTTTCTGTATCTTATGTTCCTTACCTTTTACTGCTGTATTATGTCATCGTTTCATTTATGAATATGGTTTACATCGATTTTTCTGTCTCCTCTGATAGGCAATTTTGAAACAACCTGAACAGAGCATTTCAGCGTTATCTCTAAGATCAATCAACTATGGTAGTCTTGAGGCACATTATCTACGGAGAGCGCTATTTTATAATTCAAAATTTAAAGTAATACTTGTATATCGCAGTTAATATTGTATCAACGACATTCAAACTAATTTGTGAATTGCGTTATTTCTTTTTAAATTTCTATAAAATAAATTTAAATACGAAGTAATGAATCATATCTTTACTGTGAGAAGCAATGAAAGATTATGAAGAAAGTTTCAAATGTAATAAAACTTCAAATGTAAAAAAAGAAAATTAATTAAATATGTCTCTTTTCCCAACTAATGTTACTATTTCAGATTCAGATTAAAGTTGATTAATTTTAGTTTCTATGATATTAAGGGATCATTGCCCTTTTTAAGTGTTACACGAAATATTTTTAATGCAAAAATTAATTATAAGCTCACTTAACTTCCGGAAAAGTTTCTGGAAATGAAACGTCTTATTATTTCTATAAATATTGCACTCTAACAAAATATCTAAATATATTTCCTCTAAATGCAGTTTGTTGTAAAAAGACAAATATTATCACTTTGAAGTGGAGTTGCATATATATATGAACATAAAAATGAAACACAGTGTATAAGTTTCGTTTAAAATAAGTTTTAAAAATATCATTGCTCATCATTTCAGTTTTTACAGTATTCATGTAAAACTAAATATTTATTTAATGAAAACGGTACTCACAGTTCAAACTGATATAAAAATTTCAAACTAGCGGTGATAATTAACTATAAAACAAATTTTACTAGCTCTGGAAATATTTAGATTTGGATCTAATTTTGATAATTCTATTGCACGAGGATTCGAATTAAATTAACGCTGAAATTCTTCCTCCTTAAGCATGTATTGTTTAACATTAGCTCGCTTTTAATAAATTATAAGTTTTGACATAATCAATTACCTTTTGTTTCACAGACAAAAGCCTGAGAAAGAAAAAGCAGCACCATGAAAGAGTTGACAGAATGTGATGAAAATTGACAGCCATAGTGTGCATATATAAATAAGTAATTTTAATTTTAAAAAACTACGACGCAGTATCGAATATACGTGGTGAACAGTGGGGAACAGTGGGTAGTTCTTGCAGTGACACGAGAAGCTACTCTTCTGTGAATCAGAGTGCGGATAGTATTTCTAGGGCCTGATGACAATATGCTTTCAACTGTCCTATATCAGCCAGTTCGCCTTCTGATTCAGGCTGGAGCAGAACAAGCATAGGACGGCAAATCACGTATCACAAATGTTTGATGGTGTGAGACCTGGAAATCGCAAAGGAAGCATCCGGATACTTTGTGGCGTTTTCGTACTGATTGCCGTATGTGTTCAGGCGTTATCTTGCTTGAAAAATAAGATTCTGCGACCACTGAAGGGAATGGTCGTGCAGTCGGGTGCAGCATATCACTCACGCATTATCGCGGAGTCATTGGGCGTCTGATAAGAACCAGAAGTTACAGGCTATCCTTGCCGTTTGAGCTGTAAAGGATGATGCTGCGTTTCCGAGTAGCACACCTTTCAACAGACACAGCAGGATTGGACTTGTCTCAGTGTTGGCTTATTCAGTGTTGTCTTGGATATGTATCCATATCACAGGACTTGTCTCAGTGTTGGCTTATTCAGTGTTGTCTTGGATATATATCCATATCACAGGACTTGTCTCAGTGTTGACTCTTATTAGGCGACTGTCGTTGGTGAAACAGGAGCAATACTTGTCGCTATATATTACCATCTTGCATTCAGTTATCCAAGAGTTTTGCCCCTATACCATTGTGCTCATTGGCGTCGGTGGATTTGTATGGTTATCAGACTTCATAAAGTTCAACACGATTCTAAAGCTTTCATTTAAAAGCTACTTTTGTTAATCCTGGAGAATCGCAAACTCTCTAAAATGTTTTCATAATATCAGCAGTTGTGCTTTAAGGGATCTCTACCGTACTCCATCTGATGCATATATCCAAGCAGCGCGCTGATGTCCATCTAGATGCACCACTGCCGTTGGTATGATTCATATGCCCTTTGTCGATTCATTATCTCCAAATCCTTTTCTCAGTAGACGCAGTTGGAGGGAATCGGGTATGCTACGACGGATGGAGCAGCCAGCTGTCCGTAAGCCTAAACGAAATTATCCTGGAAACGTTTAATTAGCGAAACAGACCAGAGCTTCGTCTTACAAAAACGATGCCAACTAACTTTTCGAAACCGAAATTTATCTTTATCGCAGTTTCAACTTAAATGTTTCTTATGATAAATTGCTTGATTTCAATAAATTGATCGATGACAGTTGCATTGCGAGAAGAAAATTTTCTGCTTCCTGCTATGCAGTTATTGAATGAAGAATGGCAGCATCTTATCAAATTTCTTTCCATAAGCGGGGCGATATTTCAAGAGAAGTAAAGTTCATACATTAAGTAACCGTTGCCACTAATTATCATTTGAGAGCTTCCTGAAGTTCATTTAAAAAAATCAAACCTAACACTTTGTAGACGCACCACGTTGTTCTTTCAAAATCAAAAATACTGAATTTTTTTCAACCAATAATTTGGGCTTTGAAAATTATAATCATATTTTATTCATTTTTTAGATTACTTAACATGTTAGGAACAAAAGAGATCCCAACTAATTTTCCGAAACTGAAATTTATCTTTATTGCAGTCACAGGCATTTAATTAGAATTAACGACCACTTAATAAAAATTAATCACCATTGTTAAAGAGCTTAAAGCAGCTAAAAACTATAAATTCCTCTTCAGACTTACATTGGCAGTAACTGAGACTACAACCGTTCGTACGTTATTGGAATATATGTAAGGTATTTTTGCTATTATCTACCTTCGAATCTCATTTTCCGGTTCATCTACACTCAGGATGTTTTTTATATTCATTTCAATAAACCAATACATAACCAAATAAGAGGAACAAAATGACAAGGTTGACTTCAGTGCTATCTTTTAATCATGTCAACATGAAAACTTTAAATTAAAAGAGCAAAAAACGGCAATTAAAAGGAGAAAATATTTCCGATCATGGAAAATATGAAAACTGTAAAAAGAAGCAATAAACTTAAGAAAGTAAATAAATAAATTATAAAATGACATATGATAAGTTAAAAATATGCAATCTGAAGACAACATATGAGGATTTTTGTCTTCAAGAAAAATAATATTAAAAATTTTAGAATGTTAAAAATCACTTAAAAAATAAATAATAATAAAATTAGGAAAATTAAACAAAATATTATTATCTGATTTTCATATTACTCAGATTCCAATTTAATACGTGAAGCGAGCTTAATCAAAGCAGTTATGACAGATTTACTAGTTTAAGTATAAATTTCTGGAAATTCAAGCCACTAGCGGCCGAGCGATGGATGAAGTCACTGAACACTGGTAGTTCCGATCCGGCTTCGATTCCATACAAACGGGCTGGTTGCATGAGCATTTTCTTGGTTCTTCCTATGTCTAACTTTTTCAAAAGTCAGTTTTCCCTTAGAAAGTTCTCTACGAAGTTAACCCTCCCTTTAAGATAGATAGCCCTCGAGTGCTTTGCCATAACTAAATAAACCAAACCAATCCTTGAAATACAAAATACAGAATATAAAATACGGAATTTTAATAATATTTGTTTTCAATGAAGTCCTTATGCGCGAAGCTTGCAATGCATATTTCTCGGGTGCGAGACGGTAACGATTTCAATTCTGCCACGACACGAAACTCAGATAATGAAAACAATAACACATTCTTTGATATATTACAAACGGGCGGAGAGAGAAACACTCAAAGCACCCTATCACAAATTTTGAGTTAAATAAAAAAAATTATTTACTAAAGGAATTGAGTATAAAATTTACTTTTTATTACTTCCTGATTGTCAACTGAAATTTGGTTTAGACATATGTAATTGTATCTTGAACGTATTGACTTAAAGGCTTCAATCCTGCAAGAAAATAAATTTTCATTCACTGTCAAATAAATATAGTTTATTTATGTCGTTTTATTAACAGAATACAGTACACATTATGAAAAGTATTAACTAACTGTTTTGATAAGTGCTCAATTTTGGTTTTAGTTCTCCGTCACTCGAGTTTATTTTCTGTTATTCCGTCGTAACTTACAGGATATTGACAACACCGGCAAGCTTTTGCGCATTTTATTACGTGATGATGAAATTTAGATGTTAAGAATCGCTGCTCTAGGGGGTTAGAAAACACAGCGGGAGTCGACGAAAAATGGAAACCTCATCATTAGAGGCAGTGTTTAAATATTTAACTTTCCTGTAAAGAATTTGTAGGTATAACTATAATTATACTGCAAATTTGTCCCTATCATCAGCTAAATTTTTTTAGTTCAGCAAAACTTTCTTTATAACCTGCCATCAAACATAGGTTTCGAAAAGAAATTCTATTCTTTAAATCGTTAGGTTAGCCTGTAACTACGTTTGACAATTCTATTCATATAAAAGCATTCCGCGGCATTAACCCTTTAGCAGTTGTTGGATTTTTTTTTTTTAACTTATTACGTGCTCCGCCCTTAGGAACTACACGGAGAGGGAGGGACGCCCCGTGGAGGTATTTATAAGGGAAACTGGCAGTTGTTGGATTAAGGAATTATTTCTTACCAAATATTAGCGATGTCTGTCAGACGTAAATTTGTAATGCGAGATGTGTTCGTTTGTACCCACTGCGGTGTGTAACTGGAATGCACGAGTTTGTTGATGACCATCGAAAGGTTAAAACTATTTTCTACATTTTAAGTGCAGTTCGCATACACCTTTCACGCTTTCGGCTCCTATTATGGCCATATCTTCATGGTCCTGCCTTCCTTTTCAAAAAGACTATATTTAATAAATGGGCTGTAAAA